AAGGGATTCCCTTTTTGAATATCTTTACCATTCTATTTTTTGGTATTTTTAGTTGAGAATGGTGACAATCACTCGAGGTTGAGGATCAGGATTGGGATCCTGGGTCAGGCTCCATTGCAGAGCCTATTGATGAGAGGCTACATGATCTTATCGTAGCCGAGGTGACGTGTGGTATTCTTGATGCTACCCCGGTGATTTTCAGGACCATCAAGGAGGGTATTATGGGGATTATGGACGAGCGACTCAGGTCTTTTCGAGCCGAGATTGTTGCAGGCCAGATTGGAGCCCGAGCTCCCTCGTTCCAGAAGTTAAAGGTGTGTGGTGCGCCTGAGTTCTTTGGGATTAGGGACCTCATCATGAGTCGACGCTGGGTGGAAGACATGAAGAATGCCCAACGTATGAGTTTTTGACTCGAGGCGACAAAGGTTTGGTTCACATCGTGTATGTTGAGGGGCCGAGCTCGAGATTGGTGGGAGGAGGTTACCCGCGAGGTGGGATCGACATGTGTGGTTGAGATGACTTGGCCAGAGTTTGTGAGGAGATTTGATCAGGAGTTTGCACCATCTATCGAGGTGTAACACCCCGAGTTCAGAAGTGCAAAGTTCAGGGTGCTTGGTGTAATTAAGGAGGATAGACTCGGCAAGTCGAGTCGTGATTTTGGTCACGAGTTTAGTGACCAACTCGGTGAGTCGGCGGCTGGACTCGGCGAGTCGGTGCTGGAATGAGAAACCCTATTTTACAGGGTTTGCACCTGATGAGATATGGTCCACTGGCATGACCTAGACTGCTCTAGCGCGCCAGACTGGCCTGGCGCGCTCCTGCCAGCCCTGCCTGGCGCTCCCTTGCCAGCCCTGCTAGGGACTCTCCTGCCGGCCTAGCCTAGCGCTCCCTTGACAGTCTTTCCTGGTGCGCGTTAGCCTGGCCTGGCGCGCTCCTGCCAGCCCTGTCTGGCGCTCCCTTGCCAGCCTTGCTTGGCGCTCCCTTGCCAGCCCTGTTGGGGGCTCTCCCGTTGGCCCAGCCTGGTGCTCTGTTGACAGTCTTTCTTGGTACACGCCCGCCAGCCTTGCCTAGGGCGTGCCCGCCAGTCCCGCCCGACACCTCCGTGCGGCCTTGCCCATCTCCTTGCTAGTTGGGCCTGAATTGGGTAGGCCCAAGGCCTGCCCTAATTCCCCTTGACCTAGTTGTCCCCTATATAATGAATAGTATCTCCTCCATGGAGAGGGACCCTTCCCTAGATCTTCCCCCATAGCTCAACCGCCACCCGCCGCCGTCAGCCACCTGCACCAAGATGGTTCTCTCCAGCTATGGAGGACCATCTCAGATCTTTTAGCTGATCTAACTTGACCGTCGGATCCCGCTCCCGCGGCACAGTCCCTGGGGTGGCTCTAACGGGTTTGCACTGTGATGTCCAGATCTCCATCATAGTAGAAGACCAGAAGAGCCGTCAGAGGTCGATGTCGAATCATTTGGCGCCATCCTGGATTCGAGCAAGTAGCAAAAGCCTCAGTTGCTTTCAAGCTTGTTTTTTCCTCAGATCTGATGTGTTTTCATCTCAGGTTTCTTTAGATCTGTTAATCTCTAGTATCATTTGCTCAGATTTGTTCATGTTTGGCATAAACTTGTTCAGATCTGTTTGGCTTTTGCCAAGATCTGTTCAGATCAATGTGTTTCTTGACAAGATCTCTTCAGATCTGTTAAGCCATCATTTGGATCTCAAGATCCACTCCATCTCGAGTTTAGATCTCTATATTTGATTTCGTTTTTGACCTCAGATCTCTAGATCTGCCCATTTTTTGCTCATTCAAACATTCCCCAAGTTTGCAAAAAGCTTATCAGATGGGTTTTTTTGTTTATATCTTGGTGGTTTGATCAGCAAAGAGGAAAGAAAGTAATTTTTATGAGCTTTTTATTCCATTTTCAACACACACATCACCATAAAATCGTTCTTTAGTTGAATCTTTTGCATCATCTGAAATAGTTGTTTGTAAACAAAGCTGTGATACTTGTACATTTCTCAAAAGTTTCGTTTATACCTTCACCAAAATCCATCAGATCTGTACATCTATTTCAGTTTTTGTTCATCCAAACGAATTTTAAGTTTGCAAAATTTTTCAGATCTATTTTCTTGTTCATATTTTAATGGATTATTGAACAAGCTGAAAAGAAATAAAAGTTTTATGAGAAAGAAAAACCACATCAGACCCGTTTTTGTTCATATGTTGTGTTCTTCAGTAAGTTTGAGAAGAAGAGAAATTGTTGTTGTTTATTTGGTGCTTTTTCTTTAGAAGTTTGAAAAAAGAAAAAGAAGATTTTATGAGTTTTAGTTTATGATAGTTTATTTTGGTAATTTATTCAACAAGATAAAATAAAATAAGCTTTTATCAGCTCTTACCTCATTTTCTGTATATACAACTCTCACGGTTGTGCATTTCCAAAAAAATTCAAAAGTTTATATTAATGTCGATGTCTTGATCATTCAGCAAACATTATGATCGAAAGAAGTTTTATATGAGCTTTTATCCCATCCTCATTCACATATCTTCAGCAAACCCCCTTTTTTACCTAAAAATTTTTCGTATATATCGTCACCCATTGAAATAGTTGTTGGTAAATGCTACTGTTATGCTTGTACACTAGCTTTCACCCCAGCTTAGCTTGTTGTACAAGTTGTTTATCAAATTACCTCAAAACTTACCCTACCACAACAATTACAATTTACCATGCCCGTAAAAAATTTGTGTGGTAAAAAAGAAAAAGTACATGGGACGTATATAAAGGGGGGGGGGGGAGGGTGCATAGTGCACAGACAAGTGACAAAAAGTTGTCAGGGGAAAGTCAAAAGACAATGAAGTTGGGCCCCACCATTAGCTGTTCCATTTCTACGTTTTAATTCAGCAACAATAACCAAAACCCACAAAGGGCCCCACCTACACCATCTTCTCACTCTGGAAAAATCGGACGATAGCCGACTCCACGATTGGTTGTTGCCATATACCCTGACCGGCGACCCAGCAGATAATTACAACCTCATCCAGTCGTCATCATGACCATCGCTGCTCTTCCAGGTGCTTTCGACCTCAACGACTAGAACTTGTCTGCTATCGCCGTCCATCTCCGGCTAAATTGAAAGCAAACCAGAAGCAATTACATCCTCTACCCTCTTAAATCGCAACCTCAGTGCCACGCACCACAAACGACCAACAGATCAACACCGGAAATTGAATCGCCATTTCGGTCCTGTGTTACAATTGGCGAACTCAGTCGGACCATGTGCAGTCGTCGGCCGAAGCCACAACATCACTACTAGCCTCGCCAGTCGATACCCTTCTAGCCGATTGCAACCTGTCGCTTCTCCCACCGTCGGATAATCTTTTGATTCCCAACGACAGCACCTTTAACACCGGGATCAAACAGGGTAGCGTCGCTGGCAGAACCTTAGCCACAGTCTCCATCTACAGGCGGCGACTCCACCGAAGTGCCTCCAACAACAACTCTCGCACCTAATACCGGAAGTTATACTCATCTCCGTTTTCTTGATTCACCGCCAGTAGCTAGAGCACTGCTGGCCCCGACGACTAGGAAATCAGCACCGGAAATGCTGCCTAACGCCATCGCCCGTCGCGCTCAGCTAATCGACGATAGCCTGCACGAAGCATCTCTGCCATCATCGAACCACCAAAACCCCCAGGCAACCTCCTATCAACAATCGCCTCGACCACTACAGGTATTCTCGGTGAAACAACAAAGTGATGGGTGCAGGACACACCTTTCTTGAATCACCGACGAGTAGCCATCTAGAAGCACCAAATACCAGTCGTCGTTTCCTCTTTGGGCGTTCATCTGAAATAGATTGTTGAAGAAAGGAAGATGCAGTCATTCGTATCAAATAATGAGCCATACAAACGCCATTGGGGCTCCCACACAGGTGGTATTTGGTCTCATAAATTACAATATGGGTTGTTTATATGCAAAATGGGCTATATTACATATTTGGGCTAGGACATTCGATTTGGACTCCTCATATATTGGTATTGGGCTATCTAAAACAATTAAAATGGATTGGTTTCTTAGAAAAATAAATTAGCCAATTAACCACTTGACGCTCCAGCGAAATTTAAAAGACGCAGCACGGTCCAATCAACTCGAAACTTTCAAAAAAAAGGAGGGGGAGAAGAGTAGTATACTACTACTGCTACTCGTGAAGCATTTCGAAATAACAATCAGCAACTGCGCTGCGCGGCTATCAGCAGCCGTGTTGACCAATCCCGGGAAATCTTGCTAATTCGCTCTCACCATTCATGTTAACCGGCCCCCGCTAGTCTTACTGCCCAACTCTCGGTAGTCGCACAGCTCGACCCCCAGCAGCCACGCGACCCAACTCAGCAGCCCTAAAGCCCAGTCATCAATAGTCACGCTGCTTGGCTTTCGGCAGCCGCCCTACCCAATTCTTGTTAGTACTTGGGTCGCCTAGATCTTTCCAGCAACTATGTATCTTAATTTTCAGCGGCTATGCATCCATTTTTCCCTTTCTTCGCCTCCTCTAAAGAGAAAAAAGGGGTGGGGGGGAAGGGGTGGTATGGCACTATGCAGAAGTAATTTTTACTCCGAATGGGCAGAGTTAGTGTACAAGAAGAGCTGATGTTGTGCATGACAGTGCACCCCCAAGGTGACACCAATATTCCAGATTGAAAGAGTAGCCTCGCGGTTCAATCATCAGAAGACTCATTGCCTAACTCTCAGTGGTCATGTTGCTCATGTATCGCTAGCAGCTCGATGCTCAATTCTCAGCAGCCCTGTTGACCAGCTCTCGATGGTAGTCTCGTTGCGCACCACTCGACCATAACTACATTATACAACTCTAAGTAGTATCGTTGCATAGCCCTCGACAGATAGCCAACACGACTAGGCACCAATCACCAAACTAGTGATGCAGCAAAGCATCAGGCGCCATTACACTTCAACACGAGTTGATCACCTGGGCCAGACACATAGATTGTAGGATGCTATGCCCAACCCTTCAAGGTTCAACACCTTGCCTTGAGTCGCTTGGCTTCTCCGCCCGACTCCATTGTAGCGGTAAGCTCCACATGCGAGGTTTAGTACCCTCGCCTCGAGTCTCTTGGCTTCTTAGCCCGACTCCATTATAGCGGCAAGCTCCGCATGTGAGGTTCAATACCTTCACCTCGAGATGCCTGGCTTCCCAGCCCGACTCCATTACAGCGGCAAGCTCCGCATGCGAGGTCCAGTACCCTCGCCTCGAGTCGCCTGGCTTCCGAGCCCGACTCCATTACAACGGCAAGCTCCGCATGCGAGATTCAGTACCCTCGCCTCGAGTCGCCTGGCTTCTCAGCCCGACTCCATTATAGCGACAAGCTCCGCATACGAGGTCCAGTACCCTCGCCTCGAGTCGCATGGCTTCCTAGCATGACTCCATTACAGCGGCAAGCTCCGCATGCGAGGTTTAGTACCCTCACCTCGAGTTGCCTGGCTTCTCATCCCGACTCCATTATAGCGACAAGCTCTGCATGCGAGGTTCATTACCCTTGCCTCGAGTCGCCTGGCTTCTTAGCCTGACTCCAGTATAGCAACATGCCCTGACCATTCCACATGATGCTCTTCTGCATGATTGGTCTACGATCGCTGGCAGCCAAGCCCAATCCATTCCATGCGATGCTCTCTCGCGTGATCTATCTACGATCGTTAGCAGCCAAACCTGATCTATTATACGCGATGCTTTCCCACAAGACATCTCCAGTCATCATGGCTCTCTTGTGCTCAGACGATTGATGAACTGTTAGCCACATTACAACTTGCTATAGTGAGGATACTCTCCAGCAAGAAGGTCATCCTGACAACGACCCTGCTACCTACGACCCCACAGCATCTCTGTTTCCTGGTTGTCGGAAATGGTCTCACTGTGCAACCCTACCTGTAGCCTCACCGTGTACCCCACAACATCTCTGTTTCCTGGCTCTCGAAAATGGTCTCGCTGTGCAACCCTACCTATAGCCTTGCCGCGTACCCCACGACATCTTTGTTTCCTGGCTCTCGAGAAACGGTCTTGCTGTGCAACCCATACCCCTGGACTCACCGCTTATCGCTTAGCACCTCTGCTGCTTGGCTCTCAGCAACAGTCGCACTGCATGTTTCCTACCTATAGCCTTACTACCTGTTCCTTAAGAATTTTGTTGTCTGGCTATCGACAATAGTCTTACTACGTGACCCCCGCTAGCAACCTAGTAGCCTAGCTCTTGGAATCTATTCCTCGCCTCCTCTAAGAAGGGGGGGGGGGAGGAATAGGGTTGGTACGCCACAATCCATTTAGGCATAGCCCGAGCAAGAAAGATCCTCAAGATGGTTATTAATGCAGACTATGTAGATGGTTACTGGTGAAATCCCATCTCGTATGGCTACCATAACAATCACGTTGGATAATAGTCTCAGGGACTAAATGGCAAGCTTACGCTTCTCAGCTACCCCGCCCCGACATTTCACTAACATCAATGTCGTATAACACTCTTTATCAGCCTCAGTCTGCATAATCGCAGCAACCGTTACGTTGCATCTCACCGATCGGCTCGCACTCCTCTCAATGAAGGAGTATCAAGTCAGCTCAAGCAGTGTTTGGCTCGTCGCACAACCCCACGACCCTCGTGGGCAAGGTTCGGTCATTCTCTTTATTATTTATTGTATTGGTGCTTTATCTAGTCCGATCCGATTGTCAGCAACCCAATCGCATCAGACTAGGGGGACTTGACGATGCACAGTTTATATGACTAAGTCTAGTCCGATGTTATTGGTCGCTGATGGAACCTTGTCCCAGATGAGACCTTGCTTCTGACTCTGGGATGAGACCTTCTTGGTTGCCTAATTATAACTGCAAGATCACAAAGAACAAGGGCCGCCAGCCGCTTCCCGAGAGGGGTTCCCAGGAGGACGCTCCGACGGTCAAGTTAGGATGACTTTAGGGTTTGTGTTTGTTCTCTCAAGATGGGTTAGAGAGCTTACCTCGCTGGTCTTGTGTGCACATCCTTTTATACCTAGCGTTCCTGTCTGGTCCGTACAAGATAGGATCACTTTTGGAGGAGACAAGGTCAGAGGCGCTGATTAGAGGGTCGTGCGCCCTCAACCACTAGAGCGCTCTCATTGGCTCCGATGATAATGCTCTGATCCTGCCCTTTGTCTCCTGACCGTATATTTTGTCTTGGAGCAAGGAGCGTTACTTGGCGGGCGCGAGCCTTCCGCCTATCCGTTTCGCTCCCGGGGGCGCCAGCAGGCGCTGAGCCTGCTGGGCTGAGGCTGGCTGGTGTGCCCAACTCTAGGGCTTGGACGCGGTTCTGCTGTGCTGCCCTAGGCACACCATCAAGTCCCCCAATCCAGTAGTCGTAGCGTTGCAGCGCTAGTTACGATGTTCTGGACTTAACTGATTGACGCGTGTTCGTCGTTACTCTACTCTTAATAGCGACGTGACTGGTTACGTCAACGTGTCGGACATTTAAATGTCCCGCCTCTTCTTCTTCCTTTAAAGGGGATTTACGGAGAACGATTCTCACCATTTCTTCCCTCTTTTCCCTGAGTACTCGTCTTTTCTCTCCTTTCATGGCTAACCTTCCCGGAATTGTCCCTTCTACTGTCGAGTATTAACAGTTGGAGGCCACTTATGGCTTGTCTCCTTTAGAAGGTGTGGAATTTACCTCTGCTGGTTCTAGCATCTCTCCCCCTCCCCCCGGAAAAGTTGGGGGTTTTCTAAAAACCCTAGATGCTGGCATACGATTTCCTTTGACAGATTTCCAGGAGGAGGTTCTTCAGAAGGATGGCTATAGTCTTCAGATGTTGACCCCTAATGCTGTCAACAAAGTGGTTGCCTTCGAGATGATCTGTAGAGCCAATGGGTATGTTCCCGACTACTTTGTATTCAAGTTCTTCTTCCGGTTTAGCCTTACCGGAGATAAATGTACTTTTTCAGCCCGGCTAGGGGGACATGCCCTAGTTCCTGATGGGCGCACCCGCAAGAATTGGCAAGACAAGTGGTTGTGGGTGAATCAGGAACTGGTTGGGAGTGGTCGTTACCGTGCCAATGCTTTCTCCGATACTATCCCTAAGCTCTTCCCTCACAATCAAGAAGTCACCGATTACCTGAAAAATATGCAGGTAATCGCTGAAGATTACTCCGAAGCGCTTCTGTCTGGGGTAGGGATGAGCCCCTCCTGGAGGCGGCATGGCAAGATGGCGGTGTTCTACTCCGTCATTGATGGTGAGTGTCGCGTTCGTCCTGTTTCTCTCTTTACTTTACTTTTTTGGTGTTTCTCTTAACCGCCTCCATGTGACTTACATTTCATTCTACTTTTATTTAGGTGTTGAGTCTTCCTTATCCATGGATGAGGTGCTGCGTAAATGCTATCGAGGCAAACTGGAGTTTCGTGAGGTGGATCTGTTCGAGCGTCTTCCCCCTCCTTGTCGGGCAGATCATCTCAACACCCCTACTCCTCTTGTCCCTCCAGCGGGCTCGTCTGCGTCTGAGGGAGATCCGTTGCTTGCCCACCTAATTTCCTCTGTTATGCCAACGGGCGATGCTCCTTCCCCTTCCCTGGAGGACAGTGAGGATAGCAAAGAGGGCATCATTGCTGACGTTCGGCGGATGCAGGCGAAACGGAAAGCTATGCAGGTGATGGGTGAGCCGGTGACTGGTGTTCCTCCTGCCCCCAAGAGGGTGCATACTAGGCGCAACTTTTCTCGTCTGCTGAGCTCGATGAGTTCCACGCTAGTGAGATCCACCTTCGCTGGCGTGGTTGTGATTCCCGATGATGACGTGCAACAGTCTGAGGGGATCAATAGGGTGACTGAACAACCCGATTTTTCAGATTTTTCTTCAATCCCTTCTCCAATTGTTCCGTTTGTCCCATATAAGCTTTCTCCCACAAAAGGCTTCGGTCCCCCCGGGCCAGTTACAGCCTCTAAAGATGGTGGCCCTGGTGATGGTGCTTCTGGGTCGACGGTTTTTGTGCCATCTTGGGATCTTCGCAATGATTCTCATCTTTCTGTTCGTGCCAATGCCTTAGATTTCTCTCACCATGCCTTCCCTCTAGCTGTAGTGGGGGATATGGATGTGATGGTTAGCCCTGCCCTTGCTCATAACATGGCCTATGCTGCTGCGCAGACGATGTTCTATCTTGTTGCAGGTTCCCGGCGCATCCATAGCCTTGGCGAGATGGAGGCCGCTCATGCCACTTGTGGATCGCGTGTGGCAAGTCTGGAGCACCGCCTGGGTGAGCTTGGCGACGATCTTTGCTTAACTGAAAAGAAATGTAAGAGTCTGGCGTCTGAGAAGAATGTTCTTGATGAGGCTAGGGCTGCATTGGAGGCCAAGGTTGATTCTCTCACTCAAATGAATGAAGGTTTAATGATCCAGGTTGAAAGTCTCGAGCGTGACGCCGTTGACCGTGACAAGCTTGTGTCGTCGCTGCAAGCAGATGTGTGCGATGCTCGTCGAGACTTGGATTGGCTGTTGCAAGTCGGTGTTGTGCGTATCGTTGATAAGCTGAAAGAGCATCCTGACTTTACCAATGCTACCAGTCTTATCCGCCATGCTGCATATATGGCTGGGGTTGAATCTGTCTAGAAAACTTCAAGTGGTGGTGAAAGTGGGAAGGCGTGTTCTGGTTCGCTGTCTGTCGGGCCTGTAGTTAGCGTAAGTGATGCTCTCTTGTCCTTCGCTAGTATGGATCATGCAGGTCTGTTGGGTCTGGGAGAGATGGGTATTGATGGTTTGTGAGAGTTGTGTTCTTTTGGTTCAGAGGGCACTCCTGAGGATGCTGCAGGTCGTGAGATGGTGCTTGTGAATGACATTGATGTGGGAGGGAATGAGAAAGATCATGGTGCTAGTGGTGATGATCGAGCAGGTGTTAGAGGTGATGATGTTGATGACGTGGTGGATGATAGGGAAGTTTCTGGTGGGTTGGCTGGGAAAGTAGGTGAGGATGATGTTGTGGAGGGGGATGTGATTGGTGATAAGGCTGTTGGTGATGGTTCGGAGCCATAATATTTCTTCGTTTTGTTTAGTCTATGTGTTTTGTTTTGCAATGGTTGAACTGCTAAGAACAATATATGTTTGACATGCACTAAGCATTATCTACTATCTATTTTGTTTGTTTTGTGCTTGGCTTATTCGTTTATTTCATATTGCTCAAGATGTGCCAATCATTTTGCCTTGTTTTTGTTACCATTGACACGCTAAGTGTTCACATTGAATGCACTTAGCACTCATCATTCAATCATTGGAGATTATTACACTAAGTATGAGAGATCAGCAATTGCATTATCATTTAACCGCGGGTTTTTTAAATACACTAAGTATTAAGCTCATGTCACTCATGCATGAAATTCTATATATGTCGAGTACTAAACTCATGTCTGTAAACATAGAAATACACTAAGTATCAATTCTCATGTTACTTAGCATGGATAGACATACTCTAAGTACTCTAGGGTGCAACATACTCAATGGAACATCAACCAACTAGGGTTACATCTTTCCTCTTCCTTAGAAAAAATATTTCTTTAGGTTCCTAGCATTCCATGTTCTTGGAATGGGCCTTCCTTCTATCGTCTCTAACACGTATGCCCCGTTCCTGTTTGCCTTTGCGACCCTGTATGGGCCTTCCCACGTTGGGCCCATCTTTCCCTGGGGTTGTGCCCGACTGGCCTCATTTTTCCTCAGGACATACTCGCCCACTTTGAAGGCCTTCTCCTTTACCCTTTGGTTGTAATACCTTTCTGTTGCATGTTTGTCCGCAGCTTGGCATACTCCCGAATCTTCACGTTTCTCCTCTAGGATATCTAAGTTTATCCTCAGGTTTTTTGTGTTGTTTTCCTCATCTTGGTTGGCCACCCTTAGCGTATTCACTGCCACTTCCATGGGGAGCATGGCTTCGGTCCCATATGTCAAGCTGAAAGGGGTTTCCCTTTTGCTTTTCCGTGGTGTAGTCCTGTATGACCGTAGCACCATTGGTATCTCCTCTTCCCAATTCCCTTTTGCTTTGCCCAACATCTTTTTGATCCCGTTGACAATGGTTCGGTTGGACACCTCCGTTTGACCGTTCGCTTGAGGGTGTGCCACTGATGTGAAGCGTTGGCTTATCCCTTTGGCAGTGCACCATTCTCTGAATGGGTTCTCAGCGAATTGCAAACCATTGTCGTTGATGAGAACCTTAGGTGTTCCAAATCTTGTCATGATGTTTTTCCACACAAATTTTATCATGTGCCTCCTAGATATGCATGCCAGTGGCTCAGCTTCAATCCACTTTGTGAAGTAATCCACGACTACCACCATATACTTCAGCTTCCCTGGTGCTCTTGGGAATGGACCCACTATGTCTATGCCCCACTGGTAGAAAGGCCATGGGCTGGATATGTTGCTTAGCGGCGTGGTGGGTTTCGCCTAGACTGGGGCGTAAGACTGACACTCCCCACATTTCTTGGTTACTTCTACCGCATCTTGATGTATCGTCGGCCAGTATACCCCCATTCGTAGCACCTTCCCTGTCAAATCCCTCGCCCCTTCGTGTGCGCCTACCTGCCCTGAGTGTGCTTCCTACAATATCTCTCTCCCCCTGGCTTGATCTACACATTTTAGCCATGGAGACGTGAATCCCTTCTTGTACAATTCCCTGTTCACCATTGCGTACGAGGGCGCCTTTATACGTATTTTTCTGGCCTAATCATGGTCGTCCGGCAACACTCCTCTCTGGAGGTATTCCCGGAACGGTGTCATCCATGTGGGTCTAGCGGGGGTCAAGATGTTCACCTGCTGTTCATGAATGCTTCTCTCCTAGAGCACCTCCACTAAAACTTTCTTTGACAGGTGGTCAAAACAAGTGGATGCTAGCTTGCTCAAAGCGTCTGCCCTCTTGTTCTCACTTCTGGGTATCTGCTTGATTGTAAATTGGCTGAATGATCCTACCAGTTGCTTTACCATCTTTACATACTTTCCCATTCTTTGGTCTCTTACCTCGAAACTCCCATTGACATGGTTTGCTACCTTGAGTCGGTTAGTGTTGTTACAGCTTTCGCACCCATTTTTTTGGCGAGTCGCAACCCTGCAAGCAGCGCCTCGTACTCCGCCTCGTTGTTCGATGTATGGAAGTCGAAACGGAGGGTGTAGGTTACCTCTTCTCCTTCTGGGCTAGTCAGGATCAGCCCCGCCCCTGAGCCTTCCCTGCTGGACGCTCCGTCCGTGTACAGGGTCCATGAACCATCGCCAGTAGGGACCTCTTCAACTACCCACACATTTTCTTTCGCTCGGTTCCCTCCGTCAGGAATTTCTAGTAAGAAATCAGCCATCGCCTGCCCTTTGATACTTGTTGTTGGGCGGTAGTTTATATCGTGCTCTCCCAGTTCAATTGCCCACTTGGCCAGCCGACCCGACGTCTCCGGCTTAAGCAAGATCTGTTTAATGGGGTATCTTGTGAGTACCTTGATTTGATGTGCCTGGAAGTATCGCCTTAATCGTCTCGCAACGTAGATGAGTGCCAACACCAATTTTTCCAGCGTGGGATAGTTGAGTTCTGGTCTCTGCAGTGCTCTGCTAACAAAGTATACCGGTCTCTGCTCCCCTTCCCTTTCCACATCCAATACCGATGATATCGCTTCGCCTGATGTTGAAAGATACACTTGTAATGTTTCTCCAGGGATGGGGGTTGCCAGAGTCGGCAGCTTGTGCAATGCTTCCTTGATTCTCTGGAGCGCCTTCTCAGCTTCATTCGTCCATTGGAAATTGTTTTTCTCGATGCATCCCTTTAAGGTGTGGAACAGTGGCATAGCCTTGTCGGCAGATTTCGAGATGAACCTGATTAGCGCTGTGAGCTTCCCGTTCAGACCTTGTGCATCTCTAAGAGAGTTTGGGGTTGGCGTCTCGATGAACTCGTCGACCTTGGTCGGGCTGGGCTGGACGCCTTGTCTAGTAACACAGTAGCCCAATAATTGCCCTTCTTCCACTCCAAACGTGCATTTGGCTGGGTTTGATTTCATCTTGGCCACCTCTAATGTCTTGAAAGTCTCTTTGATGTCTTGCATCATCTTTTCTTCATTTGGACTCTTAATCACCATATCATCTACATACACCTCAATATTCCTTCCAACTTGCTTGGCGAATATCGAGTCGACCAGCCGCTGGTACGTCGCCCCCTGTATTCTTTAACCCAAAAGGCATCTTGGTGTAGCAGAACGTGCCATGGTCTGTATAAAAGGCTGTTTTCTCTTCGTCTTCTTTGATCATCAATATCTGGTGATACCCTTTGTATGCATCTAAGAAGCATTTCAGCTTAAATCCCTATAGCGACTCTACCTTCTGATCGATTTCCGGGAGTGGGTAGCAATCCTTAGGGCATGCCTTGTTTAGATCAACAAAGTCGATGCACATGTGCCACGACCCATCCTGCTTGCGGACCATAACTGGGTTTGCAATCCACGTTGGGAACATCACCTCCCTTACTATTCCGGCCTCCGTTATCTTAGACACTTCTGCATTGATCGCCCTGTTACGGTGTCCTCCATGTACCCTCTTCTTCTGCTTAACCTCTTTTACCCCCGGTTTGATCATTAGCTTATGTTCAATGACCTTCCTTTCTACCCCCACCATATCCGTGGGGGTCCAAGCAAATACATGTTTGTAGCATTTGAGCAGATCATCCAGTGCTCTTCTTGTGTGGCTTGGGAGGTCGCTTCCAACATTGACCGACTGGTCGGGGTATTCCTCATTGATTACCTCCTTCCCCCTTTGCAGGATTGCCCCTGGGCCTCTTGGGCCCTTTGGTTATTTCTGCTGGCTTCATAACTGTATATCACCGTAATTCTCTGGGCGGGGTGGCCAAAATCGTGGCTTCGCCTTTTGGTGTGTTGAATTTCATGATCCCATGCATGGTTGAAGGTACAACCCCTAGCTTCAAGAGGGCAGTCCTCCCTAAGATGATGTTGTGCTCCATCGAGTGTCGAATGACCACAAAGTCTATTAGGGCGGTCTTCTTCCGCTGCTTGTTGTGGCTAGTGATTGTTAAGGGGAGGTGGATCGTGCCCAACGGCCACAGGATGTGGCCAGTGAATCCCACCAGCCTACCCGTCGTAGGTCGCAAATTGTCTTTCCAGCGATCTAGAAGGAACTGGAAACAATGCTCATAGATGATGTCTACTGAACTCCCGGTGTCGACATAGACCCTATGGATAGTCACGTCTTTGATGGATGTCCGTATTATCATAGGGTTGTCATCTTTCCAGCCATCCGGCCGGGGATCCTGTATGGAGAACGTGAGCGCGTGTGCTGACGGTTTAACAATGACTTGCTCGCCCTGCTATTCCTCCCTACTTCTTTTGCTGCGTATCATGAATATCTCCTTGGGCTGAACTCCTTCGCGGGGTGGACCCTTGGCGTTCTCAGCATCGAATTTGGCGCATAGGCTTCGCGCCACCTCCACCAGGTCTCCCTTAAGTTGTTTCTCCTCCATCTCCTTCTTTAGTACCGAACAGCTAGCTGTATCATGCGTTTTGCTTTTATGGTACTCATAGTACCGACTCTTAGGCGACTTGGCTGGCTGCTGTTTCTCAGATGCTGCATATACTTCTGGGCGGCGACCCCATCTGTCGTCTTTAATAATTGGTTAGAAACATGGCGGTGGTCTTCTTTCTTGGCCATAGTGTCTTCCTCCCCCTGGAAATCCGTGTGGGTCGGGTGGTGATGTCTAGTCGCCATAGCATTCAAGTAGGCCTACTTGGCTGCTTCACCATCCTCCTGCCGTAGGTATCGCTCCACTCTTTCTTTTAACTCAGCTCGTGTTAGAGGCTTCTTTCCCATGAGTTTTTGCGAGAGGGGCTCAGGCAGGAGTCCCCATGTGAAAGCACCAGCAATGAATCCTTCGTCATGCCCCGGTACATCCAGTGTAGCGTTTATGAACCTTGTAAAGTATTCTCGAACAGTCTCCCCCTCCCTTTGTTTACAGCCTATAATTGAATGAGAATCGCCTTTGTATTTACGTAGCTGCATGAAGTTGG